GCCGCCTCCGAAAAGGTTGAAATGTATTTAATATAATACCTAACGAGTAAATAGGTTTCATTCATATCTGTTACGTAATTGTATGATTGAATGAAATAGAAATTACTTCATTAGGAAATAGAAATTATTTTATACTTTTTAGTGCATTTCGAAGTCGGTGTATTTTTTTTCTAAAAATTATTTTATCTTAATACCCTATAATTTCAGCATACAATATGGAGAACAGGCGAAGAAATAAAACGTCTTCCAGCAGAGTTATTGTTTCGAAATTGCAAAGAGCCTGAACAAGAATTGTTGAATGCAGAGTTCATTATAATATGTCAACTGCATAACATATTGTTTCGTGAAGCAGAAATAGCAGTTTACACACTTCTATAAGTTAGACAGAGTATATAAGTTGAATTTTTTCTTCATCAGCAATTAGAAACGTGTTTCCTTAATAATCTATATTTTTACCTTTTTTAGTAAAAAAGGTGCAGTATATTTGCAATACCAGTTTGTTGAGAGGAATAAAAATTTACGACGAAGGGTAGGAAGAAAAAACCTGTTTAATATCAAATTTTTTAATTTCTGTAACAGTGAAAAGTAAAAAATAGCAGTCTCGAATAACGGTATTTCAATCAATCGTTTATAAAGCTGAAAGAATAAGACAGCTCAATTATTTTCTTTTATGATACAATTAGAAATATAAATCACAGTATAGTTACAATCATTTTGAATAAATAATAATTCCTTGTCTTAAAAATGACAGCAGTAGTCACACATATTATTTCTCTACCCATAATTAGAACATTCACAGTGTACCAACTTTTCATTTATAGAATACTACACTCACTTTTTTATTTTTTGAAAATTAACTGGTACTCGTGAAACAAAACCTGAAAAAAAGTTTGAAAAAATTACTGCACCCCAAATCAAATGACATTTTGCAAATGCGAATCTTGTTCTTTCATGGCGAAGCATCAAAGGTTTCGAGATATTTTTTGTCCACACAAAATATTTACTAACTTGTATAATTTATTGTACATGTCTTTTTGTATCAGATACATTTAAATGCTTGTATTTAACCAATTTTTATTTGTTGTCGCTCGAAAAATTAACGATGTATCTTTTTCTGTAAATTTCTTATTTCCGCTCCGAAGACAATTCTTTCCATATGAATCACTAATTGAATAAAATTGTTTTTCACGCTGATCTTTATATGTTTGTGGCCATTTTTCTGTTGGGAAGCCCTACATCTTCATAAGCAGTTACTTTAGTCTTTTTCTCCTTGTTCAACAACTTTCTTTTCAAAATCAATACTTTTTCATACTACACACAGACTTACACAGTTAAATGAGACAAAGAAAAGGACTGAAATTATAGCAATTTCATTTGAATCTGCAGTGCAACGACAAACATTACAATAATAAAAGGATAATGAGATACCAATAAAGGAAAACGAGTGAAACTCAAATAAGAGTTCAATATCTCATTACCTCAGTCGGTAACAATGAAAATATTAATCAATAACAATAAAGAATACGTAAAATTTATAATGGAATTATGGAAATTTCACTGACTGTACACTCCCGTTAATTAGCGCTTCACAACATTTATTCCGAAACAGTATTATGAGCGTGCAGTCAATAATTAAGAGAGTACAAATATTCATGTGACTCACTGTAAATCGAATTTGCCGAAAATTAAACACTGAAGGAAATATCAAAGCTCTTTTATGATAAAAGTAATGCGAACAAAAGAGAACTCGGAAGCATTTACGAAGGTGATAAATCTTACTGTACATTGTTGTTACGAGTAGCATGATACGTAAAGCTAAACCGTAGTAATGATGACTGGCATTTTTTATTTAGCTAAAGCGCAAGGAATGGTATTGCGATGATACCAGGAAAGGGGGTCACTATTACAACAGTCATAATCACTAGGAAAATTAGTTGGTACCCTATTTGAAACGGGGTCGCAAAGTTTAATGAAGTCTATTCATCGGTAACTTAATTCATTAATGGACACAGTTAAGCAATGGATAATAATCACGAAGCTAGGAAACTTTAATATTTTAGCTGATAATACCCTGAATGAATCGTATCGTATCTCCAAATTTTAATTTGATAAAAATTTTTCAATAAAAAGGATAAATCAATACATTCAACTTCCCTGCGAATTCTGATAAAATGAAACTGATCAAATTGCAAAAGAAAAAGCAGTACAAGTGGGTACCAGTAAATGTAAGATACGCCGAGAGTCAAGTGAAAAAGGAAGCTAGTGGCAAAATGTTAAAAAATAAGTATTATGTCTTATTTACTTAGGTATCTCGAAATCTGCGTATCATTATATGTTTCAGGTGTTTGAAAAGATCCCATTTCCACAGAAAGGCAACGTATAAAGGAACCAGCTTATTAAATAAAAGTTTAACAATAGATTCAAATATTTCCTTTTAGCGAATTAATGTATGATTAGAAATAAACCTATCAAGATTATTAACAATGAACCAATGTAACTGTAATAAAATTAATAGCTTTTGTCATATCTACGATCGCAGCATATAATTTTACATGATTTTATATTCATTGCACCACTTCAATTGATTTATTCAAAAATATGCCGAAATAAAGAAATTATAAATGTATCTAAGATGTATAATTTAACAAAAAAAAAAATTTAACCTAGAAAATTATGTTACAAATCGTATTATGAAACATAAACAATACATAAGAAACGAGATAAAAAAAGGCATGAGTCCTAAAGAAAATTACATAATTTCTCGTTTATTTGTTTGCTTAGCTTCATTACTGCAAAGTTTAAAAAAGAGTTTACTGTTTCAGTATTTAATTTGCACTTGATATGTTTTTTAAAGTCACCTAAGTTTAATTTACTCGATATTTGTTGGTAAAGTTTATATATGACTGGACACATTGCAAATACATGAGAAATAATTGCTATAGGTCATGATCAATTATTGAGCTTCAAAAAGAGGAAAACGTTTGCTCGAAATACATGGAAACCCGAATGGTTTTCCAATTAAAAATATGTTCACTGATATGGTTAAACGAGAAAATTAAATTAATAGAAATTCTGTTTGATACTCCGAGGCAATTTCATTTTTCATCTCAACACAATTGAACGATAACTGTCAAACAATTCAATTAATTGCACGATTCAATAAATTTTGTATAAAAAGTTGTTATCATTTTCATTATTATTATTATGAGACATCATTTATTAATGTGCTTGATATCAATATCGTGTTGGAGTTAACTGAATACCAGATAAATAACACAAAATATTAATGTGGTAATACATTGATTAATAATAAAATACTCGTATATTGTAATATATTGTATATACAGGGTTTGTCCAATAAGTATCCGGACTGATTTTTTTCTGCTAGTTTGGTAGGTCAGGGAGCAATCTCTATTAGCTAGATCGATGCGGAAAGTTGTTATGTATAATAAAAATCTAGATTCATTTGTTTTCCACCATTTGTTTCGTTTATATCGTGCTTGAAGTGGAAGCGTATTTAACGTTCGCGTCGAGAATCAAAATGCAACGAAACATCGAGCAGCGTTGTGCGATTAAATTTTGCGTTAAGCTAAATAAATCTGCTACGGAGACATTTAATATGATTCGTCAGGCCTACAAGGATGATTCCATGTCCAGAACGAGTGTTTTTGAGTGGCACAAAAATTTCAAAGATGGCCGTGAAGACGTTGAAGACGAGCAACGCGTTGGACGACCGTCGTCGTCCCGATCCGATACGAATGTCGACAAAGTGCGGGAAATTTTGAATTCCGATCGCCGTTTAAGCATTCGTTTAATTGCACAGGAATTAAATTTAACGAAATCCACTATTCATTCTATCGTAACCGAGGATTTGCAAATGCGAAAAGTGTGCGCTAAATTGGTTCCTAAGGTTTTAACAGAGGAACAGAAAGAACGCCGTGTGACGATTTCTCGTGAACTTTTAGAATGTTTGGAGAGGGATTCAAATCTTTTAGACAGAGTGATTACCGGTGACGAAACATGGATTTTTGAATACGATCCGGAGTCAAAAATGCAAAGTGCTGAGTGGCACACAAGCGGCTCTCCTCGACCGAAAAAGGCTCGCATGAGCAAGTCAAGGATAAAATCGATGCTTATTGTCTTCTTTGACGCAAAAGGTGTTATCCACAAGGAGTTTGTGCCTGCTGGACAAACAGTGAATGGCCAATTTTACGCAGAAGTGCTCGAACGTTTGAGACTTAAAGTACGCCGCGTACGAAGGGAGATCGCGAATTCCTGGATGCTCCATCACGACAACGCGCCAAGTCACACGTCGTTAATTGTGAGACAGATACTGACGAAGCATAACATCACAACACTACCCCAACC